GTGATTACGTCAGACGAGGCTACGCAACGCGTGATTACGTCAGACGAGGCTACGCAACGTGTGATTACGGGAGACGTTGGCGACAAGCTTTGCAGTAGTAAACAGGAAGTGAAACTTGCTAACTAGCAGAGGCTAATCATCTCGGGACAATGGAGCAATTTTTTTCGTGTATGCCTTGCTATTGGCCAAGTTGTAATTATTTTATCGATTCAGCTAGTACAGGCTATGTTGAATACTGCCAGGAGATGTAGGGAAATAAACGCAATGTTAAACTACGCAGTAGAAAGACACGTGCAACTACGCCGGGCTAACATCTGGGATGAGGCAGGAAAGCGGAAACAGCTGAACGTCACGTGAGGTAAATATGCGCTACGTCAGAATTTATTTGGCAAATTGTTTCTATCTCCTGTTTTGTGCGTTTACTTTGCGAATCATCCAAAAACCACCTCAAGCAAGCGTAAAAACTTTTTAGTGAATAGAGGGTTTTTTATTTTTTTTTTATTTTTGCTGTTTCCATCTGACTTTTTTCGCATTTTTAATGCGACACTTCTAAATGCGCATCATAAAGCCTTTATGGAAACACGGTTTATGTCATACTTAAATTATTTTTTTACACGGCGTCTAAATTTCCTGTTACTGTAGGTGTTGTGATTATTGATGACCACCCAGAGGTAACCACCACTGAAGACCCTCAGTCCAACGATGGTGGTTTCACAGAGGTCGTTTCCCGCAAACAGAAACGTCTGCAGGATGAAGAGAAACGGAAAAAGGAAGAGCAGACTTCTCAGGTAGAACAAGGAAAACTTTACACCTCATCTCTTTTAGAAACCATGTGTCCCTGAGTGAGAAAATATCCATGTTGCTCTTCCAGAACTGGGGTAAGAGAGGTTCTGGTGAGAAGAGCAGAGGGAGTGGAGGGAAGCTGCCACCAAGATTTGCCAAAAAACAGTCGACRCAGCCACAGCAGCAGCAGCAACAACAACAACAACCACCGTCCTCTCAGTCTCAGCCGTCTGTAGCTTCTACCACCAGTTCCCAACAACAGCCCCCCGTTTCAGCTGCGCAGCATTCTCACCTGGCCCCCTCCCAGCCCCCTGCATCTCCTCAAACTCTGGAAGGTGCCATGGCTCCCTCCTCTGCTGTGGATTTCACCCCAAAGAGCCTGGCCCCTGCTCCTGCACAGACGCACAGTAATCTGGGTACAGAGCTGTGGGAGAACAAGGCAGCAGGGCCCGCCGTGCTCCCTGACGTAAAGAAACGTGAGCAGCAATGTTTGTTTGTACTTCCAAACTCACAGGACTTTGACCAGAAATAAAAAGTACATTTTGTTTAAATTGTTTTTTTTTTCCAGTTGGTCCCATTAGCCCACCCCAGCCACCTTCTGTGAGTGCTTGGAACAAACCTCTAACCTCCTTCACTGGCATCGCTGCCTCAGAGGTGGGTGGGATAAACTTGTTTAGGGTTGAGCAATATTGGCCAAAATAATAATAATAATAATTATTATTATTATTGTTATCAGGGATGCACAATAACTCATTGTAAGTACTGATACGATAACCGATAACTTTGTCCTTCTTGCCGATAACCGATAATAACCAATAACAACCAATAACATGCCAAGTGATAAAACGAGTCAAAAATGGGTAAAATCATATCATAAATAAACAACACCAAAACCAAGTGAAACTGTAAATTATATTATTTGAAATAAACTCTTAACTAATATTTCTTAAAATATATCAAACAAATCAATTTCTTAAATTGGGAGTAGTTGTTCCGATCTTTATAATTATAAAGTTTATGCGTAACATGCAGGGTTAATTGGTAAAATCATATTAATAATTCTTAAAGTGACTGGTTGTTTTTCAGCACGGAGTATTCTAATTATTTCTCTAGTTAGAAAGTTGTTTATTCCGACGCAACTTGAACGTTGCTCGGGTYGTGTCGGACGGGAAGCGGCTTGACCAAAAAGGATAAAAATAAACACGCATTCTCATCACCGCGCTGGCAAACGTGTACACATATTATCGGTAGGGGTGTCCCGATTCCGATACCAGTATCGGAATCGGGTCCGATACCAGCATCAAGTACTCRTACTCGTACTCGTAAAAGCCAGCCGATACTCTTAACCGATACCACTTTTGTCCCCTCCTGTGCTGCGCTGCACAAAGGGTAAACAACAATCCATACCAGGCGGGGGCGCTAATGCACTGACAAGTTATTTCCGACCGCACCCCCGAATAACAGAAGAAGAACGATGAGAAGAAAAGAAGAAGAAGAAGAAGAAGTAACATATCGGCAGTTTGGAGATATTTAAGAGCAGCACGGAGGAAACAAACCAGCAGACTGTCTGCTGTGCTCTGCTAAACTGTCAAGAGGAGGAACGAAAGTTGGATGTTTTAACACCAGCAATTTGATTCAACCTTTGAGGACAAGACATGACAAAGAATTCAAAGAGTTTGCTGCTGCTAGCAGTAGACTTCATAAACAGCACTATGCTGCAGTTGTTGCAGTAACTTCAATGCTGTTTTTTCTTTTTTTTAGAACAAACTAAGACATAAGCAGAATATGAAGCAGAATATTTAAGTTAGAACTGAAATTTACTGCACTTTATTACTATTTAGTCATTTTTTAAACAGTTTAAGACTGAAGCAGAGTAAACTTCTATAGATGTGCTGCTAAAATTTACGTTTTACATTTTAATTTAAATTTGGTAGTTGCATGTTGAGGAAAATGTATAAAAATAACTTATTTTGTTTTTTTAATGTATGCAACAGCATTTGTTTTGCAGTATTTGTTTTGTTAATACATTCAGAGGGAGTGTTGCCTTATAAAAAAGAGCCTGTTTGAAATAAAATAAATGGTTTCAAAAGTTATGGTGTGATATATTTACCAACTTATCTACTTGTCTGAGGCTATGTTCACACTGCAGGTCTTAATACTCAGTTGTGATTTTTTGAAAAAATCTGATCTTTTTGTGTGAACGTTCACATTACATTTTAAATGTGACCTGCATCAGACCCCTGTGTGAACGCTCCACAGCACTGATGTGACACGCATGCGCAGTAAAAGACGTGACGTCTCATCAGCCGGCTTGTTTGTTTACAGAGCTAGCATGGATGCTACATTTTGCACATCGAATCTGAAGTTGTTGTTTAATCAGAGCCGATTAAATAATTATCTGACCTGCTTCTTTAGTTCAGTGCTTATATCTGAACCTGCCTCTGACCGGGATGCTCCAGTGAAGCTTTTTTTTTTTTTAAAGAAACTACGAGCTGGAAAAAAGTATCGACCGAGTATCGAACTTCAGGATCGATACTCTCCGCGACCCAGGCTGGACATGTTATTATCAAACTATCTACGTGGAAAATGAAAAGTAAAAAGATGAAGCAACTGGACTTGTGTTTTGGACTTGTGTTTTGGAGCTGTAAACAGCTACAGATTTAAACAGCGAGACTTCAGGTTAGTGTCTTATCGATCCTTCASCCCCTCCTCCTGATGAAAAAGTCAGATGAATGTGACATGAGCGTTCACACTGCAGTCACTTTGAAAACATCAGATATGTATCTGATTTAAAACCACATGCTGAAACGGCCTGGGTCGGATTAGAAAAAATCGGATTTGTCTCGTTCAGACTGTCATAAAAAATCATATACGAGTCAGATGGGTCAAAAAAATCGGATTTGGGTCGGATTTGCCTGCAGTGTGAACCAGAGTTTGCACTACCTCTTTATTGTCAAACATAATATTTACCCATCAATTTTTGCATGATAATTGCATTTCATTTTCATTCTGTTTAATATTCAACAAGTTGAACAGATAATCCACCCTAACCCCGCTACTTGGTATCGGTATCGGTATCGGTAAGTACCCAAACTCAAGTACTCGTATTTGTACTCAGTCTTGAAAAAACTGGTATCGGGACACCCCTAATTATCGGTTCTGTTTGTTATGATATCGGACCGATAAGTATGATGTCATAATGCCCTGATATCGGGCTGATAACTATCGTGCACCCCTAATAATAATAATTACGCTGAGTTGTGTCTTTTAGCCTAAAATGATTAATGACTTTTAATAGATGATAATAGCACTTGTATGTTTTTTTTTGCTCTAAATCAGTTACCTTGTGTCCTAAAAATATTTTTACAGTCAAACTAGCTTCTTCATTTTAAAAGGGACTTAACAAAGTTCACCTTTTTAACTGTTAAATGCATTTTGTTGTGTAGTTGGGGTTTCTGGGAGTGTAGAAAGGTTTATTTTAGTCTATTCTTGTGCTGCGTAGATATCTTTATATTCTGTTTGGGTCAGATTTTTCAGCATGTGCAGTTTTCTTTACTTTCTATCATGCTTTCTGGATGATTACATCACAGTATTTGCAACAGAACAGACACATAAGGTCTGAACTTTACCAACTACATGTTGGTATTTCATTCTCCTCTGGTTCTGGTTCTGGTTCTGGCTCTGGCTCTGGTTCTGGGACGGACTCTGGCTCCAACATGTAAGGTTGGATGGACGAGTTTGCCCTATTTTTATCCATTTGTAAATAAACAGTTTCTGTGCAGCTGTAAARTGGTAACCCCCGTCTGTCAAACTGGGGGGAGGGTTTGAAGCATCTCGTTTGGATTTAAAGAGACAGCCTCGAAACGAGTTGATCTGAAACACACCTCAGGAAAGGGGTGAAAGAGGGGCTTGTGGAGCTACAATAAGGAGGAATTSAGAYCAAAGCATTGCAGTTCCACTTTATAAAGACTCAACTGAAGGATTTAAATGTTAGAAAGGAGGATTTAAAAGCATCAAGTGTCTCCTTTGACATGTTAAAATATTAAGCTGTGAATTGAAACCTAGTTTTTCACCAGTGTAGAGTGGCAGCAAATCTTGAGTAACACAAAATGCTACAGACTCGCATTCGTGTTTGATACGAGTGCATCACACAAAACACTCATGTGGTACACATTGCAGTAATTGCAAGGTGCCCAATATTACCTTCGGGCATAAAATACCATAAAACGCCTTAAAAAGTACACAAATTAAATGAAGTACTGCTTTTGAATCCTTTAGAGTAAACTCACAAGCTTGGTCTCTTTTTAAAGCTAATAATCTGAATTTTTAACTTCAGCAGTCATATTCTTTGTAACTGTAACTAGTATTTAGTATATTGAAGTAAAATACACAAAAATCAAGATATTTTTCTCCCTACATTTTTATTTTTTATTAATAAAGTGTCACAGAACATGAAGG